CACTCATACTTCTACTTATTCATATTGCTACTTACTCATATTGCTACTTACTCATATTGCAACTTACTCATATTGCTACTTACTCATGTTTCTACTTACTCATATTGTACTTACTCTTATTGCTACTTACTCATATTGCTACTAACACTTATTGCTACTTACTCAGATGACTACTTTTTCATATTGCTACTTACTCATATTGTTACTTACCCATATTGCTACTCACTCATATTGCTACTTACTCATATTGCTACTTACTCATTTTGCTACTTAATCATATTGCTACTTACTCATATTGCTACTTACTCATATTGCTGCTTACTCATATTGCAACTTACTCATATTGCTACTTACACATATTGCTACTTTCTCATATTGCTACTTACTCGTATTGCTATTTTCTCATATTGCTACTTACTCATATTGTTACTTTCTCATATTGCTACATACTCATATTGCTACTTACTCATATTGCTGCTTACTCATTTTGCTACTTAATCATATTGCTACTTACTCATATATTACTTACTCGTATTGTTACTTACTCATATTGCTACTTCCTCATATTGCAACTTACTCATATTTTTACTAATTCATATTGCTTCTTACTCATGTTGCTACATTCTCATATTGCTACTTTCTCATATTGCTACTTACTCATATTGCTAGTTACTCATATTGCTACTTACTCATATCGCCATATACTCATATTGCTACTTTCAAATATTGCTACTTACTCATTTTTCTCTTTACTCATATTGCTACTTACTCATATTGCCACTTACTCATATTGCTACTTTCTCCTTTTGCTACTTGCTCATATTTTTGCTTACTCATATTGCTACTTTCTCCTATTGCTACTTGCTCATATTGCTACTTACTCATATTGCTACTTACTTATATTGCTACTTACTAATGTTGCTAGGTTCTCACATTGCTACTTACTCATATTGCTAGTTACTCATGTTGCTACTTGCTCATATTGCCACATACTCATATCGCAACTTACTCATATTGATTCTTACTCATATTGACACTTACTCATATTGCTATTTACTCATATTTCTACCAATTCATATTTCTACTTACTCATGTTGCTACTTTCTCATAATGATACCTACTCATATTACTACTTACTCATATTGCTACTCACTCATATTGCTACTTACTCATATCGCCACTTACTCAAATTGCTACTTACTCATAATACTACTTACTCATATTACTATTCATTCATACTGCCACTTACTCATATTGCTACTTACACATATTGCTACTTACTCATATTGCTACTTACTCATATAGCTACTTCCTCATATTGCAATTTACACATATTGCTACTTACTCATATGGCTACTTACTCATATTGCTACTTACTCATATTGCTACTTACTCATATTGCTGTTTACTCTTATTGCTACTTACTCAAATTGCTACTTACTCATATTACTACATACTCATATTACTATTCACTCATACTGCTACTCACTCATATTGCTATTTTCACATATTGTTACTTACTCATATTGCTACTTACCATATTGCTACTAACACGTATTACTACTTACTCATATGGCTAAATATATAACAGTTGTTCAAACACTAAGCAATTCTATCCTGCTGCAAATTTAGCGGTTGTTCAAGAACTGAACATTTCTATCCCGCGACATATATACCGGTTGTTTAAATACTGAACATTTCTATCCTGCAGTATATATGACGGTTGTTCAAAAACTGAAAATTCTATCCTGCTGTATATATGACAGTTGTTCAGAAACTGAACATCTCCATCCTGCTGCACGTATAACGGTTGTTCAAGCACTGAACATTTCTATCCTATTGCAAATATATCGGTTGTTCAAACGCTGCACATATCTATCCTGCTGCATATATATCAGTTGTTCAAACACTAAACATTTCTATCGTGCTTCATATATAACGGTTTCAATCAAACATTTCTGTTCTGCTGCTTTATAACAATTGTTCATGAACTGAACATTTCTATCCTGCTGCATATATAACTGTTATTAAAATACTGAACATTTCTATCCTGCTGCAAATATAACGGTTGTTCAAACGCTGAACAGCTGCTTTATAACAATTGTTCATGAACTGAACATTTCTATCCTGCTGCATATATAACTGTTATTAAAATACTGAACATTTCTATCCTGCTGCAAATATAACGGTTGTTCAAACGCTGAACATTTCTATCCTGCTGCATATATAACAGTTGTTCAAACACTAAACATTTCTATCCAGCTGCATATATAACGGTTATTCAAGCACTGAACATTTCTATCCTGCTTCAAATATAGCGGTTGATCATACACTGAACATTTCTGTTCTGCTGCTTTATAACAATTGTTCATGAACTGAACATTTCTATCCTGCTGCATATATAACAGTTGTTCAAACACTGAACATTTCTTTCTTGCTGCATATATAACGGTTGTTCACGTACTGAACCTTTCTATCTTGCTGCAAATATAACGGTTGTTAAAATACTGAACAATTCCATTCTGCTGCAAATATAACGGCTGTTCAAACACTGAACATTTCTATCCTGCTGCATAGATAACAGATGTTCGAATACTGAACATTTCTATCCTGATGCAAATGTAACGGTTGTTCGAGCACTGAACATTTCTATCCTGCTGCATATATGACACTGGTTCAAGAACAGAACATTTCTATCATGCTGCAAATATAACGGTTGTTCGTACGCTGAACATCTCTGTTCTGTTGCATATATAACACTTGTTCCAGAACTGAACATTTCTATCCTGCTGCAAATATAACGGTTGTTCATACACTGAACATTTCTGTCCTGCTGCATATAAAAAGGTTTATCAAACATTGAACATCTTCATCCTGCTGCATATATAGCGGTTGTTCAAACACTGAACATTTCTATCCAGCTGCAAATATGACGGTTCCTCAAGCACTTAACATTTTGTCCAGCTGCATATATAACGGTTGTTCAAACACTGAACATTTTTATCCTGTTGCATGTGTAACAATTGTTCAAACAGTGAACATTTCTATCCTGCTGCGTGTATAACGGTTGTTACTCATATTGCTACTTACTCATATTGCAACTTACTCATATTGCTACTTACTCATGTTGCTACTTACTCATATTGCTACTTACTCATATTGCTACCTACTCATATTGCTACTTACTCATATTGCTACTTACACTTATTGCTACTTACTCATATGGCTACTTACTCATATTGCTACTTACTCATGTTGCTACATTCTCATATTGCTACTTACTCATATTGCTAGTTACTCATATTGCTATTTACTCATATTGCTACTTACTCATATTGCTACATACTCATATCGCTACTTACTCATATTGATACTTACTCATATTGCCACTTACTCATATTGCTATTTACTCATATTTCTACTAATTCATATTGATACTTACTCATGTTGCTACTTTCTCATATTGCTACTTACTCATATTACTACTTACTCATATTGCTACTCACTCATACTGGTACTTACTCATATCGCTACTTACTCATATTGCTACTTACTCATATTGCAACTTACTCATATTGCTACTTACTCATATTGCTACTTACTCATATGGCTACTTTCTCATATTGTTACTTACTCATATTGCTGCTTACTCATATTGCAACTTACTCATATTGCTACTTACTCATATTGCTACTTTCTCATATTGCTACTTACTCGCATTGCTACTTACTCGCATTGCTATATTCTCATATTGCTACTTACTCATATTGCTACTTTATAATATTGCTACTTACTTATATTGCTACTTACTCATATTGCTGCTTACTCATTTTGCTACTTATTCATATTGCTACTTACTCATGTTGCTACTTTCTCATATTGCTACTTACTCATATTGCTACTTACTCATAGTGCTACTTACTCATATTGCTACTTACTAATATTGACACTTACTCATATTTTTACTTACTCGTATTGTTACTTACTCATATTGCTGCTTACTCATATTGCTACTTCCTCATATTGCAACTTACTCATATTTTTACTAATTCATATTGCTACTTACTCATGTTGCTACATTCTCATATTGCTACTTACTCGTATTGCTAGTTACTCATATTGCTACTTTCAAATATTGCTACTTACTCATATGGCTACTTACTCATATTGCTACTTACTCATATTGCTACTTACTCTTATTGCTACTTACTCATATTGTTACTTACTCATTTTGCTACTTACTCATATTGCTACTTACTCATATTGCTACTTACTCANATATCTGTTACTCTTATTCCAGTCAACTGGTCATTTGTTCGAATGTAGCCCTGTCTCTTATACACATAGAGATGTGTATAAGAGACAGTTCTTATATTGCTACTTACTCATGTTGCTACTTACTCATATTGCTACTTTCTCATCTTGCTACTTACTCATATTGCTACTTACTCATGTTGCTACTTACTCATGTTGCTACTTACTCATGTTGCTACTTACTCATATTGCTACTTACTCATATTGCTATTTACTGTTTCCCTTTCTGGTTACGAAAATCCAACTCGGTCTCCGAAACCAAGTAGTTTTTCAACAATTTTTAATTTCTAGTATATAAAAGTAATTAAATTTAAATACTCTAAAGTATCAAATCAAAGCTTTTCCATTGAATACATAAAATATTTCCATCGTATAATATACATAACAGGCGAAAATGCGTTATTAACGTCTTGAACTATAGGTGAGATTGTTGTTTACTTTGTAACCTCTAGGGCAACTGAGAGGTGGGTATGTTGATCTCATGCAATCACGAGGAACTGGAAGCAAGTGTTCGCATGTATACATTAGTTGCTTTTTAGAACCGATATTTTAACGATTTAATCCAATTTTATCATGATACATTTGTGGTAAAATTTAGTCATCTAAAATCCAATTCTCATTCAGTCATAAAAGTTTAAAAATAGTGTGCATGAATTCAATTCATCAAGATAACGATATTTTTTTGCAGATAAATTAAAATAAAAACAGATATTTTCCCGCTCGAATCCGTCAATTATTAGTTTACAAGTTCACAACAACTAACGAGCTCAGAAGAGATAGTCTTCATTATTCGGGTAACTATTTGCTCTTCATACGTACGTATGGCCGATGGTTGAACTCTATAGGGTTGACCCAGGAGGATTTCCGTCGTTCAGTTCAGCTTTCTTATGGCGTCACTGAGATCGAGAATGGTAAACAATCCCGCCATTCCCATGACGGAGTAATTGACTGGTTTGATCGCTTTTCGGTGATTGGTCAATGCCCATGACGTCACTGAGATCAGCGACGTCACAGGCGAACAACAAACTACATCCGCAATAATAAGCTTCTCATTGGTCAACTTTATATATATACTAGTTCAACCATGCGTATGGTCGATGTAATTTTATCTATATACTGAGGTGGGCAGTAGCGCGCTAAATGTAGCGGTAGCGGTAGCGGCGCTACATTTAAGCAATTGTGGCGGTAGCGGTTGCGCCCGCTATATTGATTACCCCGCTATATTGCGCCCGCTATATTATTACCGCCCGCTGTAGCGGTGGCGGTAGCGGCCGCTACATTTCAAAGTAGCTCTGCCCAGCTCTGTCTATATATTATATTAGCAAGTTATAAATTAGATATCGAAGAATCTTAGCGCGCTACTCTGTTGCTACTAGTGAAGCCTCCCGAGCGATCTTCAATACTATGAGATGAACTCATACATTAAAATAAAATGACCAATAATTTGTTCTACTCTAACACAGTCATAACTGCTGGTGTAATTGTTAGTGTAGTAATAAGTAATTACAGTATTGTAAGTTAGTGTAGTTGGTCATTTTAGCTAGTGAAGAAAAATATTTCTATCAATTATACTGCTTTTCCCTAACAGTGGAAGGAGATTCTCTTGTATTCCATGTGTAGAGCAAAGATATCATAAAAACTACCTTGCTGTTGCAAAGTGGGCAGATACAGACGCAATTCTTTATCGGGAATCAATTTCAAATCCTAATTTCATTTATCGTCCAGCGATCATCCATTAATCATCGATCCAAAGCGCAGTCACCCAAATTTCATCCAATTATCTTGAGTATCACAACAACTAATCGCGCCCTGGATCTTACAACAAAAACAGGGAAGATGGCGTCCAAGGGACTGTTACTTCTCAGGCGGATCATCAACTGTCCTACACTGCTGATACTCACTGCAATGGTCCTGATCACAATCACGCTTATGCACATCAATGGCAGGTATGTTGATATATACAATTGTCGATTATGCGCCATTTTGTTAAATTATTTGCAAAAATTATATAATAGTGCGCGGCATTTAATGTTTGTTCAGTTTTCAGGAGGAAAAATTTCAGGTTTCGCGGTTTATCTGTGTCACAAGATGAACGTGCATGTTGCGCGGGCTCAAAACTGGCCTTGCACTATGCCGGTTTACCTCTATTTGTGCATTTTGTGCTGAAGCCTTTCAGTAAAAAGACTTTAGTGAAGTCTGTGAAAGAGAATGCGAATAAAGAGTGAAGTGAATAAAAACTGTTTCCTTGTTTTTTTCTCCTCAAGAAACGTGGGTAAGCTTGTTAGGGCGCAGTTTTGTACGCTTGGCTTTCAGTTGGGCCTAAATTTCTTGAGCAGGCTCTGTCACCTTTGTTCTGCCCCACCGTCTACCTTCCTCTTATCCCTCCTCCTCTTTACCCGCCTGTCGCGTCGATCCCTTGATTCTCCCAGCACACTCCTGTCTTTCTATCGCCAGCTACAGCTGTTACCTCAGAGGCTCAGCTGTTCCGACAGTCGAAATTTTCGAGGGTATTTTACTATACTCAACTCAACTCAGTTTTGAAGTTTTCTCCGTCCCTTCCTCCGTTCAAAAGGTCTAGTTCGTGCATTTTACAATGGCTGGACAGAAAATAAAATAGACTGTCTAAAAGCCTTCTACGGCCTCTAGAAAAAAAATGAAACCAAATCAGCCCAGCTAGAGATAAAAGTTTGCAAGTACTGCAAAGTGATCTCCCTGAGCAAAGTCCAGGCGGTTTTCTGGACCTCGTCGACAGGCCTATCCTAGCCTATTCTTCAATGCCGAAGATTCTATACTACTATACTACCTGTGAACGATGCGAAGATCTCATGTGTATCATTTATTCGAAGTTGAGCTTTAAGGAGTACTCATTTCTCCAGAAAAGTAAATTACTTCGTTGGTTGTACCGTGATTGCAAAAAACCAACTCTTGGTGCTCGAAAAACGAGAAGTCGGTGGAAGAGCATGGCAATGAGTCGAAATCGCTGAATGATGTAGTAAACTCGTTGAGAGAGATGGTGCGCTCGCTGAGTGACAAATTGAGCTCGCTATGCAATGAGCTGACTGAAGTAGAGGCTCACCTGAAAAATACGGAAGAAACGGAAATAAAGAATAAGCGAGCTGATTTATCTGAAGTCGCTAGCAAAAGCTTACGTTAATTACTTGATAGAGAACGCAGGAAGTCCAACCTGGTTTGGTTTGGGATTCCCGAAAGTGCCTCATCTGATGCGAAGGACCGAGTGATGGATGACACGGTATATGTTGTAGATTGTTGCAGCAAGGTACTCAACACACCGATTGATGTTACATAGTGCAAGAAGCTACGCTCGAAGGATGCTACTGCCAACACCTGCAGACCTCTTTTGATGACTGTAAGGGATCCTGCTCAGGTCTGGCGAGTGCTGAAAACAGCGAGAAAGCATGGAGAATCCGCTGATTACAAGTCAGTTTGGGTAAAGAGAGATTCCATCTCACCCCTTTAGAGCATCCCTTGCCACTTCGCAAGAAGTGGCAAGAGAGAATCAGGCGGAAAGGCACGGAAAATCAGGTCAATCACTTCTAAGCTGTCAAAACAACACCGGCCGTTCACGGTCAGTCAGGGGAAATGGAGAACAGGTAGGAATGGACCCTGTAGACAAGTATAAGACAACAAGTATGCTGTAGGAAATAGCAGCATACATCAAAGTGAAAGGGCACAAAACGTTTTACGATAGTTATACGCGAACTCGGATTCCGTCTTGAACAAAATAAGCCAACTGTTAACTGTGATCGCAAACGAGTGTATAGACATTATTTGTATTACAGAAACACTCCCTAAAAATCCCGGAGGGAAAACTGTACCTGTTGAAGTTCAGTTGTCAGGTTTTGATTGTTTTCATAACTTAAATGAAGAGAAGTGCAGTGCAGGTGTAGCTCTGTGGGTTAGAACCTATAATGGGGCCCAGCTAGTTGAATTACAGGATCTGCAGAGCATCAATCAGCTAGACCGTGCTAGAGAATCAGTGTGGTGCGAACTTACTCTAAAAGGCAAGGATAGCCTCCTCATAGGGGTCCTTTATAGATCACCTAACAGCTCCTCTGATAACAACAAAGTACTAAACAGCCTTTTACCGAGCATGACTTTTAGCAGGTCGCGTACGTTGATCTTTGGCGACTTCAACCATTCAGAAATAGACTGGGCAGATGAATCTTCTCCAAGAGATGGGAATCACCCAGCATCCCTGTTCTTGGAGTCTGTGCGAGACTTATTTTTATTCGAGAACATCACCAGGCCAACCCATTTTAAGGGTAAACAGACCCCAAATATTCTAGATCTAGTGTTTACTAGTGAAGAATCAATGATAGATGAGCTTCGCCACGAGGCTCCGTTGGGCAAAAGCCACCATCAATCATTGCTTTTCAGTATCAAGTGTTGTACAGATAAGACGCTTCGGAAGCGTGAACTTTTGAAATTGTGAAAGGCGACTATAATAAACTCCGTAGAGCCGTGAATGTGGCGAATATTTCGGACAGTATCAAGAACATGAATGTGGCTGATTCATGGTCATTTCTCAAAGACACGGTTATATCTGCAGTGTATGCCTGTGTACCTCAGATTACGCTTGGATGAGTCAAAAAGGGCCGGTGGATGAACAGTACAGTTCAAACGTACCACAATGGATAAGAGATTTTCTGGTAGATAGACGACAATGTGTCAGTATTAACGGAGCCGTGTCCGACTGGGCATCTACGTCAGACCACGGTAATTAACTAAAAAAACTGCGCTGCAACTTATCCACGCGACAACATTTCTTCTCGCTTCGAATCACCGGCATGTGAAACAGCCTCCCCGATTTCGTCGTTGGCGCTCCGAGTATAAACGCGTGCAAGAACAGACTAGATAAAGCTATGGAAAAATATATGTTCAGACTTGAAATGCCTAGCACCATATCGAACCCGGTGGAAGTCTAGTAGCTATTCAAAATATCGTCAGTCATGGAAAGATCCAGTCAAATGGCACGATTTTAGATCTTCTGTGAACAAGTCACGAAAAGTAAGAATCGGCGACAGGCCACATCAGGCCTACTCTCCAGCGCCGGCATCACTATGTTATGTTATGAATAAAAGTGTGTGATGAACGTTACTCTAAAAATAAGTAATAAAAATAATAATAAAATATATGAAAACGTCCCTTAATATTATCGCTGTGAAATAGAAAGGGGAAACAAATTTGTCAATTTTGATTCAAAGTTTGTAGGTGCCGCTTGCGGCCCCTATGAAATCAATTATCGATCGCCGGGGTCGCAAGCGGCGCCTACAAACTTGCAATCAAGGTTGACAGAATTGTTTCCCGTATCAATTTCACAACGATAATATTAAGGGACAGTTTTATACATTTTTAAAATAAATATGTCAATACACGTACAGTTATTGATTTTTTGAAAAAACTAACGATGCGGGCAAGACATGTGCACAACTTTACAACTGAAATTACTTAATCAATATGACCTATCACACAAAATGTATTATAGCAGAAACTAGGTAATAATCTTTTTAGCAGAAATTAGGTAATAATTTTTTTATCATGGACTAGGTAATAATCTTTATAGCAGAAATTAAGTAATAATCTTTAGTGCAGAGACTAGGTAATAATCTTTCCAGCAGGGACGAGGTAATAGTCTTCTATAGCAGAGACTAGATAATAATCTTTTATAGCAGAGGCTAGGTAATAATCTTTATAGCAGAGACTAGGTAATAATCTTTATAGTAGAGACTCGGTAATAATTTTTATAGCTGAGATTAGGTAATAATCTTTTATAACTGAGACTGAGTAATAATCTTTTATAGCAGTGACTAGGTAATAATTTTTAATGCAGATACTAGGTAATAATCTTTATAGCAGAGACTATGTGATAACCTATAAAGCAGACACTCGGTAATAATCTTTATAGCAGAGACTATGTAATAACATTTATAGCAGAGACTCGGTAATTATCTCTATAGCAGAGACTAGGTAATAATTTTTATAGCAGAGTCTAGGTAATATTGTTTATAACAGAGATGTTGTAATAATCTTTATGGCGGAGACTAGGTATTAATCTTTATAGCAGAGACTAGGTAATAATCTTTCTTAGCAGAGGCTAGATCTTTATCTTTATAACAGAGACTATGCAATAATCCTTATAACAGACTATATGTAATAATATTTATAGCAGAAAAACTAGGTAATAATCTTTTCCGAAGAGTATCTTGATTGACTCACCAGCGAGACTGATCATTATTCATGTTGATTTGACGTTAATGTAAATTGCAGGGAGTTTTTTCCCCGTCAAGTTTAATGGTACAGATAAAATTACGATGCTGTAAATTAAAGCATTGTAATATAAAATGAATTATGAAAAATCTACACCTAAACTATGGAACAAAAAACTTTATTAAAAATATGCCAATTTGTCATTCCAATTACACGAGAAGAATATTCCCTGCTTGACACGCCTTTTTTATTTATTACTATTATTTTTTCTTCACGCCATATGGCAGTTGTTAACGATGATTTGTCTAATTCTTCAGATCCTGGCCGATCAGTGACCCACCGCGTACAGTTTCAGGTGAGTGCTTCTTATGAATTACAGACACTCTCTAATTCATACATAAAATATAAAATCACTTGTTTGCTTGAATCGCAAGTTAATCAGGAATTTAAAAGCAAACCAATTACCACACAAATTCACCATATCTTTATAAGAGAAAACGTTTCGGAGTTCAACTCCATCGTCAGTTCATTACACAGAATTCTGTTCAGAAAAACTTGAGTCCTAGAAACACAAATAAATTAATTAATAAAGAAAAATGCACTGTCAGGTTTCAAAACGGAAAATTAATAAATAGGACATGAAATTAACGCTAGTAAACGGCCTATCTATTTACTATATCAAGAGGAACGGAGCTAAAAGCGGCATTCAGGCTAGGCTTCTGTTTGAAGAAATTCGTGTGATTCGATGTTCTAAAATTCGTAGATCACTAACATCGGATGCGGAAGCTAGAATTTTGAAATCACTATCAGATACAGAGGTGTTGCACTGCTCGGCATGAACACGTACAGCAGAATAAGGTGGATGTGCAAGTAGGTTCCCTGTTCTATAACTCCTGCCCTTATGCTCAGCCAGCCTAGTATAGAGATTACGTGCCGTCATACCGACGTACGCTGATGCGCACTGCGCACAACTATATCTGTAAACTAGTGACGATCGCATAAGAACAGGTAGGGTATCCTTATACCTGAAAAACGAGCCGATTCTAAAATTGTTAACCAGCAACACGTGAAGATTTACATCCGGGAGATATTAAGCAAATAAAACTTTTAATTCCATGACATAGTATCAGATGAGGGGCCAAAGTAGAGAAAAGAACAGTAAACAACTTTCCTATTGTCACATTTGGTAAAGACTGCAGTATATTGCTTGGACATAAACTTTTTAATTTGGGTGAGCACCAGGTGCGATGGAAAGCCATTTTGTGAAAAGATATTACGCAACAATTCAAATTCAGAGTGCATGGATAGGAAAGATGTGCATTGTATATTTTCAGATGTCTGTTTAATTTCCCACCTGTTCTATTTTGATACCGTACATGATTGTGGCTGGAGTTCGCATTTCAAACACTCATTGAACGTGTTGGAAACGCGAACTCTGGCGTAAACACTCCAAACTTCAATAACCTAGGTGTCGGTTTTCCTCTATCAAAGTAAACAGTGCGAAAAGTTTAAATACTTAGTTGACCGTTGCAAAAAACACAGCTTCAAAACTTCTTAAGGTACTAGTTTCTCAACTTACTAGTCGCATTTACGAGCGCTGCCTACTCCTGCGAGCCGGTGGTCATCGTACGTCGTAATAACGGCTTGAGCGAAATTCTGGTTGAGGTCTTGTTTGACGGCAGATATCGAGGGAACGTCAGGGCCCCGAGCTCAACACTCGGGGATATTAAAAGTTAATTTTTTTGTTATTCGCGTAAATTTCCTTCAATCCTGGTCGTTACCGAGTTAAAAGACCTTGAACAAGCTAAAAATCGCAGTTCGGGCACGCAGGACAAATACATGGATGGCACTGAGCAATATTAATGTTTCACGAAAACCGCGGTCTACAGAACTTTTGAGATTTTTCTTTCGCATTTTTAATTCTAAAGAGCTGATGCAGGTAACCATGCAATAATGATGTCTTTAAGTTCAAATTAAGTTGCCTATATAATTGCTCGAAAAGTGAAAAAAAATCTAATTTTTGGTCTCATTTTAATCATTAAGTTTCTTAAAGAAATAATTTTTTAAAAAATAAGTGATATACAGCAATTAACGCAATTTTATCCTCTATCGATAGAAACTTTCAGAAAGATTCCAAAAAATACGCAGCTCGCACAATAATCTTAAGAATGAAGACGTTGAACACGTTCAGGAAGCTCTCGAATTACGCGATTTCGACGAAAATTTGGTCAATTCTTGTCCTCTTTGAAAAATCATGTCTCGAGTTCTATAAAAGCTAAGATCATGAAACAGAGTGTAAATTAAAGGCGAAGACTTGTGCTTCATTATTAGTGTTGAAAAAATCTACAAAATTTTTCCTTAGAGTTCTGAAGAAAAAAGTGAAAATTAAGTGGGTAAAAAGTTGATCGAAGTTTGGCTCACAACTTTGTTAGTTTTCATTTTTTCGGAAATCTGTTCACGATAATTAGTGTATCTCGTCGGTACGCTTAGAGGTATGTTGTCAGAATTTCAAAAATCCTTATGGTTTGGATGTGAGAGTTGAAAAACCCCCAAAAAATAGCAAAAAAAAAATTCCAGGGGTTAACTTTGACCCCCAATTTGGTGATGAAGTTTTGACACGACAAATTATCGTTCAAAATCCTGAACACACTCCAATCTTTTACCTTTCTTTTGAAATCAAGCGCATTGATTTGAGTTTGCAACTTTTCGAGCTGTGATCGTTACCGCAACCTCATTTTAGGTCATTTTTTGACCAAATTTCCCCCTTTGTGGGAGATTATGCGGGGGGAAGGAGTGGAAATTTCGGAAATTTGGCAAGAAGGTTTGGTAAACAAAATATGCGTACATGTCAGTGCCAAATTTCCTGAGATTCTAACGGGTGAGCTCCTGGGAAAATGGCTCGAGTGAAAACTTTGACCTCAAACAGCATATCAATGGTGAAAAGTATTTGTATAGCGTCCACTTCGCTGGCTGTAGGCACACAGAAAGTGAGCCGCTCCTGCCGAAGAACAACACCAATCCCATCTTCACCCTCGGGAACAGCCTCAGCATATTGCTTCGACAAGAATTTCTTTATTCTAGTATACACCATTTGTGATGGAAACCCATTTAGTGAAAAGATACTGAGAAATGTTCAAATTCAGTGTGCATAGCATGGAAAGTAGAGCAAATTCGGAAGCCGCGGTTTAATAACGCTTCAATTACATTTAATTTAAACTAAAGGTACAAAAGCTAAAAAAGCTGGTGCTTAAGCTGATAAACGTCGATTTTTGTTAAACAGATGTCTGGAAACGGCCCCGAGATTTTATGACCTTGCAATCAAGAAAAGATAAACTATTGTTGAATTCAAGCTCCATAGTAAATTTTATAGATTCGTGTTGGAGATTGAGATGATCAAAAGAAAGGCCCACATGAGAGGGATGTTTGAAAATTGAAAATGTACCATCTACATTGTTTTGGCAAGTTTTATAGACAAATTGACGGTTTGGGAATGGGTCTTCCTCTCGGCCCTACCTTTGCTAATATTTTCATGTGTTTTCACGAGGCTACATGGCTGGCCCGTAATCCTATTGATTTTAAGCCAATTTTCGATAACCGATATGTAGATGATACGTTTTCAATTTTCCAACATCTCTTTCATGTGGGCCGTTTCTCTGATTATTTTAATCTCCAACACAAATCCTATCGAGCGTGACGATAGGAATGGTGTTTGATGTTCTTTTCCTTACTTCGGCTCCGTATCTGAAACTATGGCAAAGGAACTGAAAGATCTATTCTCTAAATACCTCTCGCATGTAAATCTTCATGTATTGCTTGTGAACAATTTTAAAATTAGCTAGTTTTTCAAGTAAAAAGATCCTCTCCCTGTTAAAGATCCTTATGCGAGCATCCCTGGTTTATCAATATAGTTGTGCGAAGTGCGCATCTGCGTGTGTTGGTGTGACATCACACAGTTTTTATTCTATGCTTCCAGAGCAGAGGCATGAGTTATAGAACAGGAACATACTTGCGCATCTCCCTCATTCAGCCGTACGTTTTCAGGCCGAGCCGTGCAGCGTCCCGGCAGGTGTCCAGTAGTGAATTTAGAGTTTTTGCCCCCACTATACCGGTTTTTTTAACGTACGAATTTGAAAATCCTTGTATATTTTTAAACATAAGCCCAGTTTAAATGCCGCATTCAGTTCATATCCTCTGCAGATTGTAAATAGATGGTACCTTCTGCTCATGTTATCTCATATATATTTGTTTTATTTCTGATTTTGGTTCAAATGTCTTCAAGTTAAGGTGAATTGTTTGGATGTGTATTTTGGGTTACTTATTGTTTGTACCCGTGTTCTAGGATTTGAACTGGCGATGGAGCTGGACTCCGATACATTTATTTTTATAATAAATGGCGAATTTTTTTGGCTATTTTCTTTATTTTAAAATTCCTGGTAAATTTGCGATTTAAGCAAGTAAGAGATCTCAATACTTATATCCAACTAGATCTGAAAACATTGAGTTGTGTTTGCAACTGTAATGCGATATATCTCACATTATTTTGATAATTAACGAATTATATATCGGGTTATAACGTGGTTAATTGAATACAGGGAATCATGTTTATTCATTTCAATCAAGTCTCAAAATCGATTAGTGATGAGTACAACTTTGTGCAAACAAATTATGTGGCAGGACTTATTGTAGTACCATTTTTCCTATATAGTTTGATGCTAGCATTAACTGTAAGGAATTAAGCACACTCCAGTCAGCATACGGCTAAAAATTATAAATATTTTTATATTATCAGATAAAGTCGAGACCCTCATTCTAGACTTTATTCATTCAACCCCGAGCTCTTGTGTTTAGAAATGTTTACCTTCTTTCATCTAATAAATTAAGGGTATTATCCATGTTATGCGAGCAAGCTAACCATTACGAACAAAATCGGTCAGGAAATTGTCTGAATTATAGTAAAAACTATCAATTAATTTTTTTTTCCTCGGGCGCAATAAAATGTTTAATTGATTTTACTTTTCTGACCGCACAGAACCACCGAATGATCAACAGTATCGCGATATCGATGGAGCGAAAATTAGAGTCCCTGCTGATGGAACAAACGAAGACTTCAGTAATCCAATCAAAAATCCAATTTTGGACTGGGAAAATTTTTTCGATTATATAGAAAAATCGGCCGGGTGTAGTAATCTCGTGAGTAAAATAATTGATATTTTGATGCTATCGTATTTCCCTTATTGTATACATGAAAGAAATGGGAATAAGGGACTAGCGACGCAAAATGAGAGAATATATGTAGTTTTTTCTCAATACATTTTTTGCAACATAAGTAATAATGCAAAAAGTTTAAAATCATATATTTTAAAGTTTGTAAGCATTTATCAAGTGTCCATCAGCACAGAAATCAAAACTCGGTGAAAATCTTTGCACATTTTTTCTAACTGCAAAGCCATGTGTATTCCCTTCGCACTTTTAGAAAATGTTTGGAGGGCGTTCGGGTAAAATTGACGGCAGCAAGGCGGTTTGTTTGGACGCCAACGTCGCGCCTACTCCAGGCTCCTGCATCGTTCTTTCCTTCGGCATCAACAACGAGTGGAGCTTTGACGACGCCATGGAGCAATACGGCTGCAAGGTCAGCTTTGAAATAGATTATTTATAATTATTAAATTTAATTAAGGGAGGAGTTGGAGCAGCGGGTGGAGCTGCAAGGTCAGGTTCAAGACACATATTATTTAGGAAAGTAATGGGGGAAATTTAGAGCAGCGCTTTGACGACACCATGAAGGAATACGGCTGCAATTTAAGAATAGATTTAGTAAATTTTAAACGTGGGAAATTGGCCTAATTACGCCTACCAGATAAACTCGTTCACACGAAGTCATAATTGGTCATATAAATATGCACATTGACTGTATGTATCATTCGGGAACAACTTTCATTTACCTACGGTGCAAATTTAACCTTATTTTTTTCATCAAGTAACTTACGTTTTGTTTGTAAATTACTCGCCGAGCGTTTATCACTCATAAATGAGTCGTAATACAGCTATAATTGCTTGAAAGTATTGTATTTTAACTGCTCGTTGCAGGTGTACGCGTTTGACCCCACAATAAGGAATGAAAGGAATACATACGATTAACATAGGAATTATTTTCTAATGATAGCAACGGATCCACAAACACAAATTTTATTAATGGTTCCGCAAATTTCTTTTTATTGCATAAATATGGAAGGAATACGCACCATTAGCATTTAAAGTATTTTCTAATGTTAGCAACGGTTTCACGATTACGAATTCCATGATTTGTCTTGTAAAGTACCCAATATTGCAATGCATTGCACTTAAATCAATTGTTGTAGATTTTCGGTTAATTAACAATTTTTTCAACCCACATTTGCAGGTATACGCGTTTGACCCAACGATGGATGAGCAGGCTTATCTCAGGGGGAGCAACATCCACTTCCATCCCTGGGCCTTGGGAGGCGTAACTGGGGTCGCCAATTTCCGGGGAAAAAATAGAACGGTATTGGGGTACTCCCCATCCACCAGGCATATGACGTTGAAAAACCGTGGATTAAAAGTTTTCTCATTTAAATCAACTGGTAATCATTGTTGTTTCAACCTCATATGACTCGAGGATGTCCAGTTCTCAATAATGTATAAATTTGAACTTTGAACAATTTGTCAATTGACGAAACCCACTGAATAAAAAGTAAAAATGTATATATAAAAAAATTCTTATCCGTAAGTTGAAAATGAAGCTTTAAGATAAATTCTAGGATGTTTTTTCTAATTTGAACTAGGTAGCAGGTAGATAAACATATGTCATAATTTGATTCTGAAAAGTTTTATTGTGAACTTTTGTTCCATTCATGATACATTTTTCGAATTCTACATGATCATTCAATTTCTGAACTTGACTTAGGCTATGTCCTGCTCGTTAGGTTGTAACGAGCCCTTTAGCTGGTTGTGACCTGTCAACTCAAATTCTGATGAATATGTGTCTTCTGTCTGTGTCACTAGTATCAAATTCGTTTACCATCTTATTATTACATTACCATTAATTCAATTATAACATTCATTTACGCCCAATTATAAAATTAAAAATCTTCATTACCAAGTAGAATAATTATGTTGGCGTTCGTTGAAGTTCCTCTTGTTGGTGAACACTATAAGTTTTGAATAATCGGACAGATCTACACATATCGTGATATTCTTAAGAAGATAAACGAGGAGAAAAGCGTCATCGACTACCTTAAGATCGACGTCGAGGGCTACGAGATTGATTTCTTTCGTAACGTCTTGAACGACGACGCCGAACTCCTTGCCAACGTCAAGCAGATCGGCATGGAAATCCACACGAGTGAGGGCTCCACGCGAATATCTAAAGAAATCAAATTGCAAAAAATTGGGCCGATATCAAGTTTGAATGGAAAAGACCAGTGAAATTTAAATCCGAAACACATTTGTAGGTCTGTTTAAAGATCGTCAGCTTGTGTTTAACTTGTATAAGAATTTAAGTAACTCTACACGACTGATTTAAACAATTGACTGCTTTGAGCAGGGAGGTCGACGACGATCAGAGACGCGATCTGGAGCCAAATTCGGCAGCTGCGCAGCCTGCATTTCTCGCAGATATCCAGTCTACCAAACATGGTTGGCAGCAATCCTTACAAATTCGAGAACAAAACTGTTTCCCGGGGTTATGAAATTCTTTGGGTTAATGAACAATTTCAAGGGAATTGAGTTCGCTTTTCCGTAAATTCTGCTTGGAAGAAACGTGTGCTGCAGATATTTATGCTTTTTTTCCAAAAATATTTCAAATAATTTTCAACATATACTAGGTTTTTCGTGCTACTGCAATGGATTATTTGACCATTTTGTGTCACGCTATGTTGTTATTTGTTTTCTCGTTGCTAATCGTTTCTTAAAGCTATAGAGATAAGTAAGGGTCTTCTGGAAATAACAAATCATATTAAATTTTCTAAACTGATGTTGGCACTCCAGTGTTGTAGGTTTTTACACTGCACGAAACTTAACAATGATGTAGATAAAAGTTATTTAGTATAATTGCATATATTGTTACCGTGAGCTATCGACTTATGGTAAAATATCACTGGGATCGTGAGTCGCAGGTTTTTTTTATTCCACTTTTTATGTAGGCCTTCATGTTGATTTATATGTTTAAATGCAAAGTATATAGACTAAAAAATTAATAACAAGAATAGTCCACAAAAATTCAAATCTCTATATAAAACGTATCAGAGTCCAGCTCTATCGTCAGTTCGAAGAATCTAGAATTCATATAGAAAGTCACATATTAATGCAATTGAAAGCACAGAACCCAATTAAAAACCTAAATCTACAAATAATAGACAAGGAACAAAAATACTAACTATTCACAATTACGAATTATTCTAAACGAACAAGTTGGTTGTTTGTTTTCCACTCTTGACGCCTTTGCTATCCGCCAACATGCCAGACGATCTACGGAAGCATTCAAGAAAATTCCTGGTCAGACTCATCAAAATAAACTTCATAACCTCGACTTCTACAACAAAATTCATCCTGTCAACCCTGATAAGGTTGTTTTCAATTCGAGTTCCTTCAGCTTGGAATCCCGCGTTAAATTTTTGCTCGCATTTGGCCTTGATTTTTGTCTAGCTGTTTTAAAGTTGGACTTCTATAAATTTTTATCTGCCTTTGAAAGACTCGCTCTTAGCATTTTATTCCTGAATCCTGAAATTTTTAGGCAACCTGCAAAGTTTAGCGTACCGGCATATTTATGGCTTCAAGTCCTATTACAAGTCAGTTTTTGTAGAGAAAGTTTCCACCCCTTTAGAGAGAGCGGTTTTTCGCAAGAAGTGGCAGGAGAGAATCAGGCGGAAAGGCACGGAAAATCGGGTCAATCACTTCCAAGCAGTCAAAACAACACCGGCTGCTCACAGTCAGTCAGATGAGAGGGAGAACAAGTAATTAGTAGGAATGATGTCCGCAGATAAAGGCCAGCAAATAATGTAGGAAGTAACAGTATACATCAATGTGAAAGTGCACTAAAAGTTTTAAAATGTTTTTACACGAACTCGGATTCCGTTTTGAACAAAAAAAGTGAACGGTCAACTGTGATCGCAAACTAGTGCATAGACATTATTTGTATTACAGAAACACTCCCTAAAAATCACGGAGGGAAAATTGTACCCGTTGAATTTCAGTTGCCAGGTTTTTATTGTTTTCATAACTTAAATGAAGAGCAGTGCAGTAGAGGTGTAGCTCTGTGGGTTAGAACCTCGTATGGGTTCCAGCAAGTTAAGTTATCTGCAGAGCATCAATCAGCTAGAGAATCAGTGTGGTGCGAACACACTCTAAAAGGCAAGGATAGCCTCCTCATAGGGGTCCCTTATAGATCACCTAACAGCTCCTCAGACAACAATAAAGTACTAAGTAGCCTTTTACCGAGCATGACTTTCAGCAGGTCGCATACGTTAATCGTTGGTGACTTTAGCCATCCAGAAATAGACTGGGCAGATGAATCTTCTTCAAGAGATGGGAATCACCCTGCATCCCTGTTCTTGGAGTCTGTGCGAGACTCATTTTTAATCCAGAACATCACCAAGCCAACCAATTTTAGGGGTAAACAGACCTTAAATATTCTAGATCTAGTGTTTACTAGTGAAGAATCAATGGTAGATGAGCTTCGCCACCAGGCTCTGTTGGGCAAAAGCCACCACCAATCATTGCTTTTCAGTATTAAGTGCTGTGCAGTAATGACGCTTCGGAAACGTGAACGTTTAAACTTAGCGGAAGGCAACTATGATAAACTCCGTGAAACGGTGAATGCGGCGAATATTTCGGACTGTATTAAGTACATGAATGTTGCTGATTCATGGTCATTTCTCAAAGACATGGTTATATCTGCAGTTGATGCCTGTGTTCCTAAGATTACGCTTGGAGGAGTCAAAAAGACCCAGTAGATGAACTGTAAGAGGTTGCTTTTCTGGTACACCTCTTATATGTCTTTTATGTTTAATAATTATATGAAAGGCCTTAGGTTAGATCGGGTTTAGTTTGTGATCAGAGGATAAATGAGGCACAGATTAAAGAACAAAAGAGTACTTATTTATCGAGTAACACAGCTTACAGTTTATGGGATTAGAGATAGAAGTGTGAGTTTAACACATTTGTCTACGCTCACGACTAGAAGGGGAATGAGTCGAAGAACCTATACTCGGCAGTTCTCGGTCTTGACTGACGCTTCTCGTTCTGCCAGAGAGCTATATCTCGTTCAGTGAGTGACGTCGTAAATGAGAATAGACAAAAGAATAAACCTTTCTAAGTTCGGATGGCAGCTATCAATGGGGCAGCTTACACGTCCCTCCCCTGCGAAAAAATTGGTGATCGTCCTCGATCCTGAAAAAATCGAAAAATAAAAAGAGTCCTCTTTATAGTTTTACCCAAAATGATTGATAAATTTGAATGACAAGATATCGGTAATTTTAGTAAGGACGGATGGAGCAAATGAACGACATGAAATTCCTAGTGAAGGAACTCTCCTGAAAGCTATAGAAAACGAAATGCTGCACAGTCTGAACGATAGATTGTTACCTATGTAATATATGAAGAATATATGCAGGATTATAGGTATTGGCAAGTGGTTGAATATAATAATCCACTGGCAAAAAGCTCAAGTCAAAAGCGAAGGTATCCCTTGACGAAGGATGTCATTCGACAGTGCCCTGTGTTTTCAAAGGAAGGCACGGTTGGGTTGGTGACATCAAGAGCTACTCTAGACATAGTGTTTACTAGTGAAGAATCAATGGTAGAAGAGCTTCGCCACGAGGCTCCGTTGGGCAAAAGTCACCACCAATCATTGTTTTTCAGTTTATGTGCTATACAGAAAAGACGCCTCGGAAGCGTGAACGTTTCAACTTTGCGAAAGGCGACTATGTTAATTAAACTTCGTGAATCAGTGAGTGCAGATAAAATTTCGGACTGTATCATGAACATGAATGTGGCGGAGTCTTGGTCATTCATCAAGAACATAGTTATGTCTGCAGTTGATGCGTGTGTACCTAAGTTAAAGCTCGGCGGAGTCAGAAAAACACACTGGATGAACAATACGGTTAAAGCAAAGCTAAAGGCAAAGAAGGAAGCATCCAAGCGTTATTTACGAACTCTTAGCGATGCTGAATATAACCTGTATGCAAGAGCTCGAAATCAAGCTAAAAAAGCTTGTCGCACCGCAGTCAAAAATTTTGAAAAAGACGTTGCCAAAAACTCGAAAAAGAACCCGAAAGCCTTCTTCTTGTATGCTAGTTCGAAGTGTAAGACAAGGGACGGTATAGCTGATTTGAATTAATGCAGTATTAATCCACGAGTCCATTAATCCGTCCATTTGAGTACTCATCCATCAAGCGCAACACTGTAATGTATTATCATCCATCAAGCACAACACTGTTATGTGTTTAATATATATATATTTAATATATGATACTACACTCTAATGTATTATCATCCATCAAGCGCAACACTGTAATGTGTTTAATATATATATTTAATATATGATAATACACTGTAATGTATTATCATCCATCAAACGCAACACTGTCAAGTAGTGTATTTACCTTAATTTGTGAAAGTGTAAAAATAAGAAAATTTAAATTGTTTTAGCAGTCGAGAAATTTAAAGCTAAAGATAAACTGCGAATTTCTATAATATAGTGCAGAGCCAAAATTTTAAAATCAGTTTGTTAGTGTAAGATGAGAATAAAGCGAAGAAGCGATCGCGGGGCGAGGAAAGCTGATCTAATTATCGCGCGCATGTTAATTCATTACCAAGAGAAGTCAACGTTTCCTTCATGCAAATTCTGGGATGTTTCTCGCTCAGAGATTCCTTGGAGACGATGGATGGAAAACACGTAATTGCAGTACTAACTGAGCAGCTAAATCGATCAAGCATATTCACAGATTTTTCTGCCTCTCTCCACTCTTTAGGAATTCAAAACTATTTTAATTTCTCGACTTTTTACTCGTGAAAAACATGTTGACAACTTCATCTCACGAGGCCAAACTTGAAAAAAGGCCAACATCTCCGGTTGTGCGTCAAGCCAAAGCTTCGTCAACAGAATAAATCAGATTCAGGAATAATTTTCACCGCCATCATGATGAGCTCGGAGTAAAATTCTGCCACTCGGCACCTGCGCGGTGCGCAAATGGTGAATTTGGACAATAGCTTCTTAAGGATTCCATTGCAAGTGAATGCGTGAATTATGCACAGAAATAACTAAGGCCCCACTGTAGCGGTCCGACTTTCTGTCGTTCGCGCTCTTCTTCTTTCTTTCCGACGCATTGCTCGGAGCTGAAATTGGACATGAGCCGGGGTCGGCTCACTCTCGATTGAGCCGCCTGCCTGGGCGGGCGTGGCAGGACACAGTTATTGGTCGGCAAGGATATACCTTTGATGGACCTCCGAAGCTGCCGTCAAGCATTCATTTGAACCAGAGTTCTTGTATTTTGGTTACGTCATTCGTTGGCCATGGACAGGTGCGGCTGCAGGCAATCGGAGCTACAGTACCAGTCTCAAAACGGTAACGCTTCCGGCGCTGTACGTCGCATGGACTTGGTCGTTGTGAACATTTGTCTTTCCANTCGACCACGGACCATAGCACACCTCAAGAACAACATTCGCGACGTCATTGCCAAAATACCGATTGATATGCTGCATGGAGTGGAAACCATTATGAAAAAAGCGACTTCATTAGTTTATGCGCGATGGAGGCCGTCATTTATGAGATTTAATTTTCAAAACTGCATGAAAAAAAATTTGGGATACTGTTTTCTCGAATAAAAAAAAAATTTAAAACAATAACTGAAGTACTTTTGTTTTTATCGACCTTTCAAATAAGTAAGTTTCTGTGGCGCACCCTGTATTTGTTTGGGACATATCAGTCCCAGGCCACGATGGATCGCCGCCGTACACGTGTAGTAAATGTGTAGTAAATAACTACATGAGGTGTAGTAAATGAAGTTTTTTTCAAGTGCATATTTTACATTGAACATAGCAATCCCATAAGGCTAGTTTCAGGTATGAATAAACCATCTTGGGTCCAATAAATTTGATTTATGTTTACCA